CCAATTCAAATGGTGCCACAAAAATACATGCACCCACCCCTCCTTCTCCCAATATGTTGTACCATAAAGCACCATGGTGAAGAAGAGAAATAGCAGTGAGAGTTTTGGGAAAATGTTGTTTTGTAGTTACATCAAGGGATGTTAATGCAGCAGGGGTGGTAGGCTGTACTGAATGTGGAAGGCTAGTGGCAAGGGCTAGGAAGTAGTCCTCTTAATTGCTGTTTTCTCTTCCCTGAGTAATTTCTATCATATCATATTTATAACACGAGTGTTGTAATTCAGGAGATATTTCCATAGCAAATCTCTGCATTAAAACATTAGAATCATAGAATCATAGAATCATAGAATAGATTGGGTTGGAAAAGACCTCCAAGATCATCAAGTCCAACCCCTGATCCAACTCTAATTACTATATCATGGCACTAAGGGCCATGTCCAATCTCTTTTTAAAAACTTCCAGGGATGGTGAATCCACCACCTCTCTGGGCAGGCCGTTCCAATGCCTGATCACCCTCTCTGTAAAGAATTTCTTCCTAACATCTAACCTAAACTTCCCCTGGCAGAGCTTGAGCCCATGTCCCCTTGTCCTGTTGTTGGTTGCCTGGGAGAAGAGACCAACCCCCACCTGGCTATAACTTCCCTTCAGGTAGTTGAAGAGAGTGATGAGGTCACCTCTAAGCCTTCTCTTCTCTAGACTAAACAATCCCAGCTCCCTCAGCCTCTCCTCATAGGACTTGTGCTCGAGTCCCTTCACCAGCCTGGTTGCTCTTCTCTGGACCCGCTCCAGCACCTCAATATCCTTCCTGAACTGAGGGGCCCAGAGCTGAACACAATACTCAAGGTGCGGCCTCACCAGCGCAGAGTACAGGGGAAGGATCACTTCCCTGCTCCTGCTGGCCACACTGTTCTTGATGCAGGCCAGGATGCCATTGGCCTTCTTGGCCACCTGGGCACACTGCTGGCTCATGTTCAGCTTCCTGTCAATCAGCACCCCCAGGTCCCTTTCCACCTGGCTGCTCTCCAACCACTCTGTGCCCAGCCTGTAGCGCTGCAGGGGTTGTTGTGGCCAAAGTGCAGGACCCGGCACTTGGCCTTGTTGAACTTCATCCCATTGGAGTCAGCCCATCTCTCCAGTCTATCCAGGTCCCTCTGCAGAGCCCTCCTGCCTTCTGGTAGGTTGACACTCCCTCCCAACTTGGTGTCATCAGCAAATTTGCTGATGATGGACTCAATCCCTCATCTAGGTCATCGATAAAGATGTTAAACAGGACTGGGCCCAGTACTGATCCCTGGGGGACACCACTGGTGACCGGCCACCAGCTGGATGCAGCCCCGTTCACCAGCACTCTCTGGGCCCGGCCCTCCAACCAGTTCCTAACCCAGCACAGAGTGCCCCTGTCCAAGCCATGGGCTGCCAGCTTTTCCAGGAGTATCTTATGGGAGACAGTGTCAAAGGCTTTGCTGAAGTCCAGATAGACCACATCCACAGCCTTCCCCTCGTCCACCAGGTGAGTCACCTGATCGTAAAAGGAGATCAGGTTGGTCAAACAGGATCTGCCTCTCCTAAACCCGTGCTGGCTGGGTCTGATTCCTTGTCCATCTTGTAGGTGCTGTGTGATTGCACACAGGATGATCTGTTCCATAACTCTGCCAGGCACCGAGGTCAGGCTGACAGGCCTGTAGTTACCAGGGTCAGCCTTGCAGCCTTTTTTATGGATTGGGGTGATATTTGCCAACTTCCAGTCATGTGGGACCTCCCCAGTGAGCCAGGACTGTTGGAAGATAATGGAGAGCGGCTTGGCAAGCTCTTCTGCCAGCTCCCTCATTACCCTAGGATGGATCCCATCTGGTCCCATAGACTTGTGAGGATCCAGGTGGCTCAGTAAGTCACTAACTATTTCCTCCTGGAATACAGGGGGGCTATTTGGTTTCCTCTCTCTGTCTATCAGCTCCAGAGGCCAGTTGCCTTGAGGGCCACCTGTCTTACTGGTAAAAACTGAGGCAAAGTAGGTGTTAAGTACCTCAGCCTTCTCCTCATCTCTATTAACTATGTTTCCCTCCGAGTCCATCAAAGAATGGAGGTTTTCTTTGCCCCTCCTTTTGTTATTAATGTATTTATAGAAGGACTTTTTGTTATCCCTAACAGAAGTGGCCAATTTAACTTCAAATTGCGCTTTTGTATCCCTGATTTTCTTTCTGCATGATCTAGCTGTCTTCCTGAATTCTTCGTAAGTAGCCAGCCCTCTCTTCCATAGTCGATAAACTCTCTCATTGGATGCTTATTTCTTCATATACCTGTTTTAAGCCTACAAGGCTCATGTTTTAATAAAAACTGTTTGTAGCAATTCTTGATAGGCTGGAGAGCTGGGCAGAGAGAAACATAATGAGGTTCAACAAGGGCAAGTGTAGGGTCCTGCACCTGGGGAGGAATAACCCCGAGTACCAGGACAGGTTGGAGGCTGACCTACTAGAAAGCAGTTCTGCGGAGAAGGACCCAGGAGTCTTGGCAGATGACAAGTTGATCATGAGATGTCAGTGTGCCCTTGCAGCCAGGAGGGCCAATGGTATCCTGGGGTGCATTGGGATGAGTGTGGCTAGTAGGTTGAGGGAGGTGATCCTGCCCCTCTACTCAGCCCTAGTGAGGCCACATCTGGAGTATTGTGTCCAGTTCTGGGCTCCTCAGTACAAGAAAGACAAGGAGCTATTGAAGAGGGTCCAGCAGAGGCCACAAAGATTGTGAGGGGTCTGGAGCATCTCTCTTATGAGGAGAGACTGCAGGAGCTGGGCCTGGTGAGTCTAGAGAAGAGAAGAGAAGACTGAGAAGGGATCTCAAATATAAATATCTTGGCAGGTGCCAAGAGGATGGTGCCAGACTCTTTCAGTGGTGCCCAGCAACAGGACAAGGAGTAATGGCCATAAACTAAAAACACCTCAACATGAGGAAGAACTTCTTTACATTGAGGGTGGCAGAGCACTGGAACAGGCTGCCCAGGGAGGTTGTGGAGTTTCCCTCTCTGGAGACATTTAAAACCCACCTGGACACGTTCCTGTGTAACGTTCTCTAAGTGACCCTGCCTTGTCAGGGGATTGGATTAGATGGTCTCCAGAGGTCTCTTCCAACCCTAACAATTCTGCGATTGTAGTGTAGATATTATTTTTAAAGTTTTTCAGTTTTTAATAATTTTTTAATCTTTTTTATTAAAAAAAGTATTGAATATACACATTATGCTATTTCCTATATGCATTTAAAACTCAGAACAGCTGAATATACCAATATAAAGCTTCTTTATCAGAGCTCTCTGAGCAGAGAAGTATTTCATTCATATGTAATTCTCAAGTAGCTGCTTGCCCTAAGCCTGCCTTTCAAATCTGTGCTGTGAGAATCCAGAGTTTGAAAAGACAAATTTAAATATACAAATATAGTTTTGAAAATCACATCATTAAACTTTCTAGATATTTATTCATTAACTTTACTTTCTTTGCTTATTCACGAGGTAAAAATATTTGTGTAACAGTATATATTAATTCAATGTTCTGGACACTATTTGAGATATATGGTCTAAACTTATTTGTCCCCGATGACAGTTATTCTTGTATATTACATATAGAGTTAAATGACAGCATCATCAGAAAGTGTACATGATTCATTAGGAAAAGAGGACTTGCTTATGGAGCTATAAGTTAACATTCAACATTAACTTTTAAAAAGTCTTTCCAACCAATCTTGTGAATGTTCTGTGCATCTAGAAAACATCTAGGAAACAATATTTTTCTTTGAAAGCCTCTAGGTAAACACAGCTTTGGATTAGGATGTGTTACTCATATAATTTAAAAAAATCCATGAGGGATACATGTGGACAAGTAGAGGCTTGTCTGAACAAGGAGTGTTCCCCAAGCAACTGACCCCAGACCCACTGATTGGAAGAGACAGCAAGGGGCAGAGCTTGCACCAGGCAGCACAGGAGATTTAAGCAGGGAAAAAGAATCAGTCCAGCTGATTGCAACAAATGAGCACATATATTCCCAGCAGGCAGGCATGCGGCAGCATGGTGACCACCTGGCAAAAAGCAGTGTTCTCTGCTTATCCTGAGCTTCTAGCATCTAGGAGAACCAACAGAGCTGCACAGACAGAGATCCTCAGAGCTCCTACTCAAGGATGCAACCACCCAGGTTTCTGGCTGTGGGATGTGTGAAGGGATATTCCTAGAGGTGGAAAGTGATTGCAAGCAAGACTGTGGGAGCTGTGACCAGATTGATGAACTGCTCTGCTTGGTGGCTGAGCTGCATGAGGAAGTGAGCAGCAGACTGAGGAGTATTTGAGAGTCTGAGAGGAAGATTGATCAATAGAGCTGTACTCTGCCATCTATGATGCACAGAAGCCTACTTGATGTGGCCATTATGGAGGCAGGACCAAGATCTGCTTTGTGCCAGAAAGAAGGCAGTATCACAAGGGTGAAGGAGGGGTGGAAAAAGGTTACAGCATGCTTCCATAGTAATTATAGTTCTAAAGTAGTAAAAGGTTGTTATTTGAGATATTAAGTTTTACCCTTAAACTGATGCTAAACAAGTAACCTAGAAGCAAAAGTTAATTTTATGATCTCTCTTTACATAGGTTCAGAAGCTGTATGTAATTTTTCTCCCTCTTTTTAATATGAAAGTCATACAGGCCATGATATGGCTTTGTTACTTCATACAATATCATTGTGCATTGTTATAAGCAAGTAATAGTGTAATTATATGTAAGACATCAACACTTTAATATTCTAAAACTGATAATAACATTTTATTGTATTTATTTGGATCTTCAGAGTACTGAAGTCACCTATATCGAAAATAAATTTAAAACTTCCATATGGCTGTTTAAGGAATTATTTGTTACTGTCTCTTTTTCAGATTTAAAATCTTCCAACTATCGCCCCTAGCGTGCAAGCGCGCCGTAGGTGAACTCACGCCCCGGGAGACAGCTCCCCCTTTCTAGTAACTTCCCCGATTCGGATCGTCATCAGTGCGCGCCGCGGCTGAGTTGGGTTGTTTCTGTCCGCCGCTTTAGGACTGAGGCCGCGGCGCGGAAGACTCGCCTGGAACTGTGTGGTTGGAGCGACTCGGGCCCTACCTGCCATGTCGGATAGTGCGGAGAGTTCGGCGGAGGCCCACAGCTCTTCTGAGTCCTCCGCTCAAGGCTTCGCTGCTGCCGAGCCGCGGATCATCAAAATCACGGTGAAGACTCCCAAGGAGAAGGAAGAGTTCGCTGTGCCCGAGACCAGTAGCATCCAACAGGTGAGGGGTTGGGGGCGGTGGGTGGGGAATGCGGCCAGGGGCAAGAGCCTTGGCCTGTGGTTTCCACCTCCCATGCTGGAGGGTGAAGGCCCTTCGCGATGACAAAGCAGCTTCTGCTTATCTGAGCTGTTCTCAGTGCTGTTGGGTGAGTATCGGGGCTGACCCGGCCTTGTGGAGGGCCGCTGCTAACAGGCTATTGGGAGTGGTGAAGAAACCTTCTGCGTCGTCTCCTCCGCGGCTCCTCCCTTTTGCGATTCTGAGAGCCGGCCTGGGAGGTGGACGTAGCTCGTTTCATAATTCTGAGTTGCCCTGCTGAAATGACTCGATCTGGCAATAGGAGGCTCGCTGGCTAACTAGTACAACTGTAGAAAACGTAGTCACCTATGTGGCGGCGCTATAGTGTCAATAACTATCTTGATTTAATATTTGCTTTAGAAACAGCAAGTAGGCTATGGTAATGATATCTTAATTTTAGAAAAGCCACGTCTTTAGACTGTACAAAACTTCCACTACAAATAAAGCACAGCTTCTGCCGTGCTTCAATGTAGTAGTGTCTGATTACTCTGAATTGTTAGGGTCTTTGCTTTGAGTTTCTATGAAAGTTAGTATCTCATTGTGCCTTTGTTTCGAGAGAAACAGTGGCACCTACTGAGGCCTTCCATGGGAGTATTTACCAGGATTTAATTAGTTTAGATTGGGAGGCTACAAATCATAGGAAAGGTGTGGTCAAAACATAAGGCAGATATCTATAAAGCCACTCTCTCCTACTTGTGAAGGATGTAGATACTGCTATGCTAAAATACTTGAAAAGGTGAAGGTCCCTGAAGGATATTTAGAGCTTACTTCATTTTCTATAAAATTTCTCAGTGAGTGTGTGCAGCTTGACATCATGTTATTTTTTTGTGCAGTTGATAACTGCGAACCTCACAAAAATGATTACATATATAAGAGTGAAATTGAAATGTATTGAAATGGAGCTTTACATTGTTAATTGCTGATGAGTCAGAAGAATTTGTTTTCAGGAGGGGAATGCAAAACGTGAGTTAAAAAGCTCTGAGTGATCTTCTAGCCAGGGTGTGCCACCTAATTTTAAAATTCTTTGTTGTTGCATTTTGGTTTTTTATATAATATGCTAGTTCTAATGTAAAGATCACATTTGACCTGAAAAGCAGTTTGATTGCAATAATATTGGGGACTTCAGGAATTGTAACTAAATTAATTTAAGATGTAAATTCATAACATATCTAACAGCATGATTTCAAATGTGAATCCCAATAGGAATATCAGGTTTTTCTAATAGATGGTTGTCTTAAAAACTGAAATAGTTATGCAAGCTAACAAAACCATATTTTTTTACTGAAAAAACTAATAAAAATTAAGTGATTAATAGAACATATTGCTTTAAAATATCTTCATTGTTTGTAGATATCTTAAACTTTAAATATTGTCTTGGTGTCCCTTTGAGCTGATATTAACAGATTAGATATGCAGTTGAATTTTCCTCTGAAGTAAGACTGCTGCTGCCCCTGTAGGTCCACCATTTGCTTTGATTTCTGCACAAAGTTACAGCTAGTACAAAAAAATATACAAGACTGTAGTGTGACTAGAATTTGCTGTATTTCTTAAACAGTCAAAATAAGCTGTTGTTAATAAAAACAAATATGTTGCATAATAACAATATATTGGCATAATAACAATAGATGTGAGGTTTCTAGAGCCAGCCCTGAAAATAGATTAGCCTCAGATAAACAAATTGAGCATCTGTTCAAATGCATATGGGATCAGCAGGTGGATTGTTCTGTTGGTATAGGCAAACTGACAATGTCTGCCCTATTGGAGGGGAGGAAAGGTCTAAATTCATACAACCTAATAGCTTTTAGTTTGCTGTGTGTTCCTGTAGCTAATAATATCACTTAGCGACTTGGTTTTGTTTACAGTCACTTCAGAATACAGCAAAACAAAAAAACAACCCTAAGTCTTTTAGATAAATATTTTGGGTTATCTGGCCTAAATTTAGGGCTACACAAAGTGTATTTTATGTTTCTCCACTGATGTAAGTCAGGTTTGCAGCAGTTCAAATTTGAGGAAGATTTTCCTATGTTAGAAGACTTCAGTAACAAAGGGTTTGTTATTGCTGATCCTATGTTGGGTCTCTAAGAACAGGCAGTTATGTAGGTTAGAATGGAAAATAACCCTCAAGTACCAAATTGCTCTGGGAGGTCAGTTTATTGTAAGTGCCTCCCATCAGTCTTTATTTTCCATGGAACTTATTTGATTATGTTGAGCACAGCTTGGTTCAGTATTAGGACAAGGACCAAATATTTGCTTTCTTGAATTGGTATGATACTGAACTTGCAGGCCCATACACTGCTCTGTTCAAAGACTTCTATTCATGGTAAGTAAAGATGAATACCTATAAGTCTACTAGTTTGAAATCCCAATATGCAGGAGACTAGCTCAGTTAGCTCTGCTTGTCTTCCATTTTTTTTTTCCTTTGTTTTATTTTATGGGGTCTGTGGGCTTGACTTAACTGTGTTTTGGTAAAACTCATACACAGAGAGAGTGGGCAGTCATATTACAGACTACTCATGCACTGCTGTCTCCTCTTAGTGAATGGCTTTAATTCATTGAGTGATGGGATGTTGGAACCAATTCCATTAAAAGCAGCTTTACTTTCTTAATTTAGTTTGTTTACCCTGTAGGCATTCTTGGAATGCCAACATAGCAACAATGGCAAAGTTCAAAATGTTATTGTAATTGATTTAGAGTTACTATCCACCAGCACGTATGCAGACTTTAAGGTATCAAATGATGCATTTTGTGAACACTCTTAGAGAATAACATTGATTGCTTTATATTTTTAATTATTAGGCTAACAGAGTTTGGATATAGCAAATGTATGTTATTAATTTTAAAAGCCTGCAGTTATTGCAGAGAATTATTGTCAATCCTATGATTATCTGAAAATTTCAGGATAATGTCTGTTTTGAAATGTTAGTGAAATCAAATTTCATCCATATAACCATAGAAAACAGTTTAAATTATTTTTTCTCTATTTTTATTTAATGTCAACCTTTCTTCAGTGAAGAATATAGTTTTCAGTAGTAATAAATTATTATCAGCATGTAGTATATTTTTAAACTAATTATATACCTGTACTGCACTGAATTATAAATAAACTCATCTACTGAACTATATGTGTAAATGTATACATTGTGTTGGGACTCTGACATGATCTGGTTAGAGTTCTATTCTCTGTTTAAAATTTGAATAAATATTATTCTTGAAACTCTAAATCCAGAAATCCAGGTTTTCAGATTTGTGCCTGGTTTTTACAATCACAAGTTGGCCGTGTTTGGCATATAAAGTTCATGTGTACATGTTAAGGAGAGCATTGGGTGATTTGATAGTAGAACATCTTTCCTAACTTTTGTATGCTTTTAATATTTCTTATAATGTTTTATTTCATAAGGACAACTTAATATTAGTTCTTTTAACATAACCAGTTCTGTCTTGCCTGTAGTACAGAGTTTATCGAATGGTATGACCAAAAGAGGTTGGAAATCACATAGTCCAATCTGTTGTTCTTTTTTAATATGATGATCTATCTTTCTGTTGGCACTAAAGGAACTTGAGTGCAGGAATTGTTAAAGCATTGGTTTTTTTTACCATCATATATCTCAGTGCACTGAAGCACATCAGTGATACATCTGTGTGATTGTTTATAAAATCAACCTTGTAATATGCTCTGATTATTCATAGAATCATTGAGGTTGGAAGGGACCTTCCTTCTAGTTCAACTGTCAACCTCACAGCACTATAATCATCCCTAAACTATATCTCCGTGTGCCACATCCAGATGCTTCTTGAACATTTCCAGAGACAGTGACTCCACCACCTCCTTGGGCAACTTATTCCAATGTCTGACCACTCTTTCAGTGAAAATTTTTTTTCTAATATCTTATCTGAACCTCCCTTGGTGCAACTTAAGGCCATTTCCTCTCATTCTTTCACTTGAGACATTTCTTTGAAATAAAGAAACCCTGTTTGATTAACTATTCAGAACTTGGAGAAACATCTTTGAAGTCAACCTTATAATGGTAATATTTAGACTTGCAAGCATTCTAGAAAGCCATTTAATCTGTTCCTGCCTGAAGTAGATTACTTACCTAAATTATTCAGACATTGCAGTGGGTTTACCTTGGCTAGCCGCCAGGTGCCCAACAAGCCACTCTGTCACTCACCTTTCTCAACTGGACAGGGGAAGAGAGAAAATACGATGAAAGGCTTCTGGGTCAAGATAAAGATAGGGAGAGATCACTCACCAATCACTGTCACAGGCAAAAAAGACTTGACTTGGGCTAATTAATATAATTTATTGCCAATCAAAGTCAGAGTAGGATAATGAGAAAGAAGAACAAATCTAAAAACCATCTTCCCCCCCACCCCTCCCTTCTTCCCAAGATCAGCTTCACTCCAGACTTTACCTTTTCCCCCAAGCAGCAGAGGGGGACAGGCGATGGAGGTTGCAGGTCAGTTCATCACACATTGTCTCTGCCACTCCTTCCTCCTCACACTCTTCCCCTACTCCAGCATTGAGGTCCCACCCACACGACACAGTCCTTTACAAACTTCTCCAATGTGGGTCCTTCCCACAGGCTGTAGTTCTTCACAAACTGCTTGAGATTAATGCTGGGAGAGGTCACTTACTGATCACCATCACGGGCAAAACAGACTCAAAGTGGGGATATTACTTAAATTTATTACTAACAAAATCAGAGCAGGATAATGAGAAGTAAAATAAAACAATGCCTTTCCCCACTGTGCCTCCCTCCTTCCCAAGTTCTCTCTTCTCGCCCCCAGTGGTGTAGGGGGATAGGGAATGGGAGTTATGGTCAGTTGTTTCCTGTGGGATCCCTCCCATGTGAGACAGTCCTTCACAATCCTCTCTGGCATGAGTCCATCCCACAGGCAACAGTTCTTCACAAAACTGCTGTCCCATGGGTCAGTTCTCCATGGGATGCAGTCCTTCACGAATGAGCTGCTTCAGCGTGGGTCCCCCACAGGGCCTTAAGTCCTACCCAGGAAAAACCTGCTCTAGTGTGGGCTCCTCTCCACAGGCTGCAGGTCCCTGGTAGGACCCTGCTCTGTCATGGGCCTCCCACGGGGTCACAGCCTCCTTCAGAGGCTCCAACATAGGCTCCTCCATGTGCTGCAGGTGGGTCTCTGTACCCTGATGATACTCCATGGGCTGCAGGGGGACAGCCTGCTTCACCATGGTCTTAACCACAGGCTGCAGGGGCCTCAGCTCCAGCACCCAGAGAACCTCCTCCCCCTCCTTCTGCACTGACCTTGGTGTCTACTTTGTTGTTCCCATGTTCTCACTCCGCTCTTCCCTGGCTGCAATTTTCATCTGTGCAATAACTTTCTGTTCTTAAATATGTTATCGTGGAGGCATTACTATCATTCCTAATTGGCTTAGCCTTGGACAGCAGCAGGAAGCCCGTCCTGGAACTGGCTGGCATTGGCTCCACCAGACAGGAGAAGCTTCTAGCATCTTCTAACAGAAGCCACCCCTGTAGCCTCCCCATTACCAAAACCCAGCCACAGAAACCCACTATACCAGGACAGGGTTAATTTTTGCAGTAGCCATAAGGGGGCATGGCCAGAACCCAGAGGTTATTCTATATCCCCTCAGTCATTGCTGGTGGTGGAGGGAAGGGAATCTTCTAGGGAGAAGGGGTCTCTTCCAATCAGGGTAGTGTGGTTGCGGTCGGGCTGAGCCAGGCTCCGCAGTGAGCATTTTGCATGTGACTCACTCTCTCTTTTTTGTACACTTTGTTTTTAATATTGTTGCTGTTACTATTTTTTTCTTAAATCTCGTTGCCATTTCCAGTAAATTGTTCTTATCTCAACCTGTGATCTTTACCTTTTGTGCCTCCAACTTTCCTCTCCAGCCACACACAGGGGGCAGGGGGAGGTGGAGTGAGCAAGTGGCAGGGTGGTTTGGAGAGTCTCAGTGGGAGCACTAAATTGGGGAGTATTATTGCTAAACCATGACACCAAGGTAAACCCACTGCAATGACTGAATAATTTAAGTAATCTACTTCAGGCAGGAACAGATTAAATGGCTTTCTAGGATGTTTGCAAGTCTAAATGTTACCAGTTTTCATGGTATAGGAATGGTGTTCCCCAATTTAGTACTCCCACTAAAAAGACCATGACCCCTCCTCTGATGGGAGGCACAAAAGGCAAAGATCTCGGGTTCAGATAAGAACAATTTACTGGAAACAGAAATAAGAAAATGAACAGTAACAGCAACACTATTAATAACAAAAGTATAGAAAAGAGAGGGTGATTCACATGCAGAAATGCTCACCGTAGACCCCGGGCAACAATGAAAAAATAGCAGACAGCTTTCCCCCTTCCGCCACACTTTCTCCACCAGAAGCCCCGACCTTCTTGGTTCCTTCCTGGAAGCCAGAGTCCCTTACCCCCACCCCTGGCAATGACTTGAGGTGGTATAGAATAACCTCCTAGCCATGCCCACATGGCTCCAGGCTCTGCCCCCTTACAGCTACTGCAAAAAATTAACTCTGTCCTGGCTGGAACCAGGACACCAGTATAAAGTTGACTTAAAAGATGTTTCTCTGAGAACTGGAACCAACTCTGTGTGAGCAGACTGCTAACTGAACAAATGCTACCTGCTACCCAGGCACAGAGATTTCCTACCTCTGTTGTATCTTGGGTTCATTTTTTGGGGTTCTGTTTTGTCTCTTACTATACTATAAACCTTTTCAATTAGGGACTTGCCTTCAGAGTAATAATACAGTGGGAGTTTCTATTTTGTTTTTATTTTAGCCTTGTCTCTTATATAATTATTTAATAATAAGTCATTGCAAGATAAATGTTTGGAGTTCCTGTATGAGAGTTCACTAGGATGTTTGGAATACGATTCTTCTAAAAATCAAGTTGACTGTACTACTTGAAAAATGTTAAATATTGTTAACTTCTGGATGACTTTCCAAATGCCTAAGATCTGTTCAGAAACATTTAGTCTACTGACTAGTCACGTTGAACAAATTTATTTGATTTTCTTATATTTGCCTTTCTATATTTTTTTTTTCTGTGAGAGTACTTTCATGTAGAATAATGAATCTGAGTAAGAAGTCAGTCAAAGCATAACATGGTTGTTATTGGTTAAGAAGGCAGGAGGAAATACAATTGCTTTTCTGGGTTTGGTTGTTTTAATCAAGGTATGATTTCACGATCAGCTGAACTATGTGTCTGTTCACTATGCCCTGGGCTGGAAGCACATTTTATGTAGCTATCATGAGTTGGATGAGAGAGCAGAGTGACCCAAGAAATAATTTTTGACTGCGTGTAAAGGATTGCTAGTTTTGACACGTGAAAGGTAGCAATAATATGTCCAAGAAGAAAGGATACTGCTCCTTTCAGTATCTGTACAAATTTGAACTGAATTAACATAATGTTTTGTTGCATTCCCAGCATGTCAGCAATGGATTGTTTCAATAGCATGTTTCTAGGTTGTATAAAGCAAAACATATTGTGGAAGTGGATTAATATAATAAATGTGAGCAAAATAGTTCTGCCTCAAATTATTAAAAAAATAATAGTTCAGTATTCAATTACATAACTATATTATATTAACTTTTGTTTAGTTCAAGGAAGAAATCTCTAAGCATTTCAAGTCCCACACTGATCAACTTGTTTTGATATTTGCTGGAAAAATTTTAAAAGATCAAGATACTTTGATTCAACATGGGATTCATGATGGACTCACTGTTCACCTGGTCATCAAAATGCAAAACAGGTAACCTGACTGATGATGAACAATCTTATTTTTACCTCAAAGTAGTAAAAAAATTTCTAACGTGATAGCTTTCTGGTGGGCAAACCTAGGTTAGACTAAAATGTTTTCAAAAGCAGTGCAAATACTCCTACTATTAAACAAGAGAAGCAACCCCAAAATGTGTACGGTTGTGTCCCTAGATATCATGCATACACTTTTTGAAAGTTAATGTCATCTTCTAAACTGAGCCATTACTATTAAATCACTTGAATTGGCTTCTTAGTTGTAGTTGGTGCAGAATAGCAGTCTGAATACAATCTGAACAGTCCTTGATCTGTTTCACTGTGTGGTAGCATCCATGCTTATGCCCCTACAGTAGACAGGTGTGGTGAGCATACAAATTGGGCAAGCAGCCTCTAGTGCTTGTGCTAATTTATGATGGCATTAACTTTGTGTAACTACATTGTTACCATGCTCTTACAGTATTAAAGAATATTGAATTTCTGATATTATTCTAGTGATAAAATAAGACTTTAACTTAATTTGATGTTCAGTGGGGTGACCTACTAACGGTATGGTATGGAATAGATCCTGTATTATAGATCTTGGTAGCCTTCTCTCCTTTAAGGATAGTATAAAAAGATGTTAACAGTTGCAGTGATACTCATCCATTTTCTTAGTGTTAGAAATTACTGTTCTGAAGAAGTGATGAGATTATAGATATCTGAGAATCACAGCATGATAGAGGTTGAAAGGGACTCTCAAGGTCATCTGGTCCAACACCCCTGCTCAAGCAGGGCCACCTAGAGCCATTTGCCCTGGAACATGTCCAGGTGGCTTTTGAACATCTCCAAGGAGGGGGACTCATCAAACTCCCTGGGCAACCTATTCCAGTGCTCAGTCACCCTCACAATAGAAAAAAAGTCTTTCCTTCTGATCAGAAAAGAACCTCCTATGTTTCAATTTGTGCCAGTTGCCTCTGGTGCTGTCACTGGGCACCACTGACAAGAGCCTGGCTCCATCTCTTTGCACCCTCCCTTCAGATATTTATATACATTGATGAGATCTCCCCTGAGCCTTCTCCTCTCCAGTCTAAACAGTCCCAGCTCTCTCAGCCTTTCCTCATAGAAGAGATGTTCCAGTACTTTCATTATCTTTGTGGCTCCTTGTTGGACTCCCTTTAGTATGTCCATGTCTTGCTTGTACTAGGTAGCCAAGAACTAGTCACAGGACTCCAGGCGTGGCCTCATCAGTGCTGAGTAGAGGGGAAGGATGACCTCCCTCTACCTGCTGACAACACTCCTAATGCATCCCAGGATACCATTTGCCTTCTTTGCAGCTGTGGCGGGTTGACCTTGGCTGGACGCCAGGTGCCCACCCAGCCGCTCTATCACTCCCCTTCCCAGCCATAAAGGGGAGAGAGAATAAGATGGAAAACAATTCGTGGGTTGGGATAAGACAGTTTATTAAAGCAAAAGTTTGCACACACAAAAGCAAAGTGAAAAATAATAGGATTAATATTCTACTTCCCATCAACAGTGATGTCTGGCCACTTCCCAAGAAGAAGGACTTCAGCTCATGTAATGTTTTTTTAGCAGGCAGCCATTGGAAACAATGAATGCCCCCCTTCCTGCTCCTTTCCTTAGCTTTTATACCTGAGCTGATGTCATATGGTATGGAATATCCATTTAGTTAGTTTGGGTCAGCTGGCCTGGTTGTGTCCCCTCCCAGAATCTTGCCCTTGATTGGGGAAGAAATGTTACACTACTGGTGCTGTGCTCAGCAGTAGCCAAAACACTGGTGTGTTATCAACACCCTTCTAGCTATCAATGCAAAGCACAGCACTGTGAGGGCTGCTATGGGGAAATGAACTCCATCTCAGCCAGACCCAATACAATCTCCACCCCTTATTCCATACCATTTGCACCATACTCAGATCCCACATAATATATATATATATCTTCTATCTCCCATAGTTTCACAGATATTATTTTTTCCATTTTATGACCTTCTTCCACCCCTCCAGATCTTGGGCTCCATTCCATCAGGATGGGTACTCAGGACAGGAAAAGCAACACAATCGGTCATTGGGCACTGACACCAGCCCGGCTCAGGTCATTGTCACACTCTTCTTCCTCCTCGCAAAATTTGTTCTTCACTGTCCTGCTACTTTACTTCCTGCTACATACGACTTAAACCACAGATTATTTTTCCCACAAGGTTAAATCTCCTTGAAGCACACACCAGGTCTCCCCATCCTCCCACATTACCCTGTCGCGGTTGAGGCGGGACACGACACAAAACCCTTGTGGATCCAGAGGCTGGAACACTTTATTGCACGATGTCTGCTACTTTTATACACTTTTTAGGCTACACATGTCAACTCTCCCCTGGTTCCCACATACATAAATATTCTTCCATTGGCCACTAACGGTGTTATATAACTCTGCTTACTGCGCATGTCACGAAACACATTTTGCTGTGTTCAGCACATTTTACCGGAAAACCATATTGTTACAACTTCCGGGTCCGGGCGTAATTCTCCCCTGAACAAAGGTTCCTGCTAACTTTAATTCTTCCCGAATCCCCCAGGCCAGCTGGGGGAGAGCCACCACAATTCCCCCTGTTTTTGTATTAAAGAAACCGCCAACGAGTGTCATCCATTGCGGGGCCCCTTGCAAGGGAGACACAAACCACGGCAATATCAATAATACAAAAACAACTAAACGAACAGGCAAGAGTTACAGCCCAGACAGTGCTTTCGTTATTAGTCCATGGCAGTAGCATTCAGTTGTCAGGTGTGGCCATAGATGGACTTCACGTAACTTGTGGGCGTGGTTCATCCAGTACAGGACGGACACATCGAGCAGGTACCCAGCGTGGTCCTTCATCTGTGGAAACACAAGCATACCCTCTACCCCAAGTTAATAGTTCGCACGGTTGAGACCACTGCCCTGTGTGCAAATCTTTTACCTGACTTTCACCCCAGGGGAGACAGGTGTGGACTTTGTAAGGAGCCAAAATGCCGGACCATGGGTGGATCCCGCTGGCCCTCCGCGATGTTAACAAAATTGAGCACATAGGTAGCCTTAGCGAGGTGAGCTTCGGGGGTTTCCCCAGACATTCCCGCCTTCTGTTTTTCTAATTGACGCTTAAGGATACCATGTGCTCGTTCCACAATACCTTGACCCTGGGAGAGTGAGGAATACCAGTGACGTGAGAAATTCCTCACATTCGGAGAAAGATTGCACCGGGAAGAGAGATAAGCAGGGCCATTATCAGTCTTGATTTGGTATGGCACTCCACACGTAGAAAAGGCCCGCAACCAATGGCGAATGACATCCCGGGCAGTTTCACCTGCATGGGCAGTAGCGACTATAACAGAGGAGGAGGTATCCACAGATACATGTACGCATTTCAAACGGCCAAATTCCGCAATGTGGGTCACATCAGTTTGCCAGATCTGTAAAGCTTGCAGCCCTCTCGGGTTAGTGCCATAAAAGGCAGGTACCGATTGACCTTGACAGTCAGGGCATGCAGCAATAATGGAGCGGGCTTCAGCAGACGTCAAATGAAACTGCCGTTCCAAGGCACGCCGCTTTGGTGAAGAAATTGATGCGACGTGATGGTCTGTTGACGAGATCGGGCACTGGACCCAAAGCAGCTGGTGAAACAAGGCGATCTGCGCGAGCATTCCCCATGGCGATGAAACCTGGCAAAGTGGTATGACTGCGCACATGTAAAATATAATAAGAATTAGTACGTTTTTGAATCGTTTCCCACAACAGACGAAGGACCCCAAACAAAAGGGCATTTGAAACCTCTCAAAGGACCTCTTTATCCAGGCATCGAACTAAGCCAGCCACATATGCAGAATCAGTGACTATATTGAGGGGGCAGGAAAAATGCTGAAACGCAATAGTAACTGCGCGTAATTTGACGACCTGGGGTGAACCTTCCTGGAGTTTGACAATGTGTTGCCAACTGTGACCATCGTGCCAAGTCACAGCAGCCTTGTTTGTCTTTCCAGACCCATCAGTAAATACAGTGGGTCCAGGCACAGGCGTTGTACAAGAAAGCAGCTTCTGAGTTAATGTGACTTGTTCGTGCAATTTACACAGGGGGTGGGAGGGTAAATGGTACTTAATAGTACCAGTATAATTGGTCAGTGCTGCTTGTAAGGTGGAACTGTTGGCCATGCACCATTCAAAATAGTCTAGTTGCACAGAAACTACGATGACCTCAGGGTCACGTGCAACAAGTTCCGTGCAACGGGTACGTGCTCTGACAATTAGCTGTGCCAGAAGCTCAAACAAACCGGGAACTGTTTTCTTGGAGCGCACTGACAGGAAAAGCCATTCTAGCACATGCAGGGGATCTTGCCAGGCAGGGTTCCATTGCGCAATCATGGCAAAAGGAACCATGCTTTCGATAAGAATATACACATGAATTGCAACATCAGTGGCAATTCTCCATAAGTGTTTAGTTTGCACACACTGTTCCACTAAAGCAATAACTTGCTTTGCTTGGGGGTCAATTTCCGAGGAGCTCGAAGGTGAGAATCATCTTTAAGAAGATCAAGTAAAGGCTGAATTTGGGATGGAGTCAGGCCAAGGTAGGGACACAACCAATTTATAGTCCCTGCCAATTTTTGGACATCATTTAGAGTCCTAATATTTGTTCCCAATTTGAGGGCCTGTGGCTGAACGGTACGTTCGAGTACCTTCATGCCAAGGTAAAGCCATGGCTGAGCACGCTGTACTTTCTCAGGAGCCACAATCAAACCATACTGTTTCAGAGAAGCATGGGTGTTGGACTCCATGGCAGACAGCATCTCACTGGAAGGAGCCGCTAGGAGGATATCATCCATATAATGGTAACAATACCCTTCCGGATAGGTCTCTCTAACAGGGCTCAAGGCCTGGGTAACAAACCATTGACAAATTGTGGGTGAATTTTTCATGCCCTGTGGCAAAAACTTCCAGTGATACCATTTAGAAGGCTCAGCACGGTTTATCGAA